AAAAAAAAAAAAAAAGAGCCACACTCCCCACAGACCAAGGCCCTGCCCTGTCCCAGTGGAGTGCTGTCCCCACCCTTGGCTGGGGCTGCCCCTGACTCCAGGTGGGCAGGAGGACACCCCCTGAGGTGCTCCCTTCCTCAGGAACGTCATTGCTCCACTGATGACCCGCCATGGGAGGCTGTGGTCGAACTTCTGGGGAGCCCTGAGTGCGGATGGCTACTACGCCCGCTCTGAGGACTACGTGGACATTGTGCAGGGGCGGCGTGTGTGAGTACCTGCGGCGGCGGGGGGGGGGCTTCCTCTATCTTCTGCTTGGGCTTATAGTACCTCCCTCCCCAATATTTCTGTCCTGTTGCCCTCAAATTCCTGCCAAACCTAAAGCAAGGAAGACTACAGTTGGACACACCCAAGGACTTCCTGACAAATATCTTGGGCCCACTCATCAGGGGAATCACATCAGCACAGTTGTGCCCTCTCAGCCTATGATTTCCCCTTCTCCCAGCCCAGACCCCCAGCCACTGACCCCCTCACCGCCAGCCTGTGACCCCCTGCATCTTCCTCTCTCTCTTAGTGGTGTCTGGAATGTGCCCTATATCTCGAACATCTACTTGATCAAGGGCAGCGCCCTGCGAGCTGAGCTGCAGTCCACTGACCTGTTCCACCACAGCAAGCTGGACCCTGACATGGCCTTCTGTGCCAATGTCCGGCAACAGGTCAGCCAGTGGCTGGGTGGTCACGGGATGTCCTGTTGACAAGGAAGATGGGCTAACTTGTCACTATAGGCCTGAGGGCTCCTGACATTCCAGCAGGACTGCTCAGGGGCAACTAAGGCCTGATAGGGGCACAAGGGCTGGTCCTCAGAGATCTGAGGGACTGTTTTAGCAGTTTGCACACCATTTTATTTACATTTTTAAACATAGCCTAAAGGAAACTAAACTTTCTACCTAAACATATTCTTTTTTTGTTTTTATTTATTTTTATTATTTTATTTTATTTTGTTTGTTTGAGACAGAGTCTCTCTCAGTTGGCTGGGGTAGAGTGCTATGGTATAATAGCTCACAGAAACCTCAAACTCCTGGGATCAAGCAATTGTCTTGTCTCAGCCTCCTGAGTAGCTGGCACTGCACTATTATACGTGGTTAATTTTTCTATTTTTATTTATTTATTTATTGAAACAGACTCTCACTTTGCCGCCTTTGGTAGAGTGCCGTGGTGTCATAGCTCACAACAACCTCAAACTCTTGGGCTCAAGCGATTCTTTTGCCTCAGCCTCCTGAGTAGCTGGGCCTACAGGTGCCCGCCACAACGCCCAGGGCTCGCTCTGGCTCAGGCTGGTCTCAAACCTGTGAGCTCAGGCGATCCACCTGCCTCAGCCTCCCAGGGTTGGGATTACAGGCGTGAGCCACTGCGCCCTACCTAAACATATTTTAAGAGCCACCTCACCCCGTCTCTGTACCCTACCTTCTACTTTTTTGTAATTTTCTTTCTTTTTTTTCTTTTGGAGAGAGAGTCTCACATTGTCACCCTAGGTAGGATACTGTGGCATCTTAGGTCATAGCAACCTCAAGCTCTTGGGCTCAAGTGATTCTCTTGCCTCAGTCTCCCGAGTGCATGGGACTATAGGCACCCGCTACAACATCCAACTAGTATTTTTATTTTTAGAGAATGGGGTCTTGCTCTTGCTCAGGCTGGTCTTGAACTCCTGAGCTCAAGCAATGCACCTGCCTCAGCCTGCTAGAGTGCTAAGATTACAGGCGTGAGCCACTGTACCCTGCCCTGACTATTTTTTAGAGATGGGGTCTCCCTTTTGCTCAAGCTGTTCTCCAATTCCTGACTTCAAACAATCCATCTGCCTCAGCCTCCTAGGGTGCTAGGATTACAGGCATGAGCCACCACGCCTGGCCTATAATTTTGTTTTCTGTTTTTTAACTTTAGAGCACGATGAAGTTCTCCCCTGTGACCACAACTTAGGGTCAGAACACCATCCACAGTCCTTTTGTGCAGTTGCTCTTTCCTCCCCTGTTCAGTCCTCTGGGAAGCCTTCCCTGATCACATCTGTGGTGTCAGGCCTGGGCTGGGAGCTGGGGACACTAGGGTGACCTGTGCTTGGTTGGTCCCCAATCCTGTGGGCAAAGGAGCCTGCACTGTACTCTAAACATGCAGGGAGGTTGAGGGAGGCCTCTTCTCTCGGCCTGCTCTCCCCAGGACGTGTTCATGTTCCTGACCAACCGGCACACCTTTGGACACCTGCTGTCCCTGGACAGCTACCAGACCACCCACCTCCACAACGACCTCTGGGAAGTGTTCAGCAACCCCGAGGTGAGGCTTAGTGCAGGGCAGACTGGAGCTGGGAGCAGAAGGGACCCTAGTGATCCTATGCCCCAAGGCACTTCCCTGTCTGCTTTGCACCAGCCAGGACCCCTGTATGCCCCTGTCTCCCTCCCTCTGGTCCAGGGTCAGGAGTGTAGATTTGGGTGGGGCAAGGAAGGTGGTCTGAGGAGCAGCAGCATCTGGTGAGGGGGAGCCAGAGTCAGAGGCTGGGTGGTGGCCTAGCTGCCATCAGCGGGAACTTAGTTGAGCCTCTTAACTTTTGGGATCTCCATCATCTGAGCTCTGAAATGGGTCTGTCTCAGCCTGTCTCACTCCCGTAGCTGCCGTGATGATGGGTTGTGACAGGGTTCCTAGGAGCCTGCAGCTGATGTGGGCTCCCCCAGGCACATGCATGTACATATGTACACACACGTGTGCAGCCAGGCAACACACACCCGCCTCCCCCAGGTGTGTACACCTTCACACACATTTCGAGGGGCTTGTAGGGTGGGGCCCCTTCCTAGGGTATCCCTGGGAATTGAGCTGTGGGGAGCACCAGCCCATTTCTCCCTGCCCACAGGACTGGAAGGAGAAGTACATCCACGAGAACTATACCAAGGCCCTGGCGGGGAAGCTGGTGGAGACGGTGAGATCTCCGGGGACCCCTGGGGACAGTAGGGAGTGGTCAGAGGATCAGGACTGGCTGACCTAGGGTGGTGGGCAGCAGGATGGCTCCTCTCCCTGTTGGCACTTTCCGGCTGGAGTCTGCAAGGGGCCTGGGGGGCCCAGGCAGGAAAGAGGAGAGCATCTTGAATGTGGTCCCCCCTGAGGTTGGAGTGAATGCTTCTCTCCGCTTGTGGGCTGTCTGCTTCCCCATTCCCTGGGGCCTCTGCCTCGCCCCCTCTGTGTCCTTCATGTACAGGTTCCTTTCGGAACAGCCTGTAACCTCAGCTGAGAAAATCTCTCTGGGCTCTGCCTCCTTCTCCCTTCAGGAACTCACTCACTCTGTCTAGGAGGACCGAGCCGAGCCCCTGCTCCTGGGATACACAAGGGGGTGGGGCCCTGCAGAGAAGGGGAGGCTGTGGAGTGGAGCTGCCACTCTGAGCCCCCATGACTGAGTCCCCACCCTTCCCAGCCTTGCCCGGATGTCTACTGGTTCCCTATCTTCACGGAGGAGGCCTGTGACGAGCTGGTGGAAGAGATGGAACACTATGGCCAGTGGTCTCTAGGTGACAACAAGGTGGGGCTCCATGTCTGGATAGGGCCCGCAGGAAGACCACCTCTTCACCCATGCCTGCTCTGGGCTGGGCTCTCCTGGCAAGCCGGCCTCATTAGCTAACCCCTCTGGGCCTCTAGGCATGGGATGCTGGCAGGGGTGTCTGCAGGCAGTTGGAGTAGAGGGATTGAGAAAATGGAGATGGAACATTGGTCCCCAACCTGCCATTGCTGCCATGTGACTGAGCTGCTGTCAGCATAAGTTGCCGGGTTTTCAGTTTCTGGTTTGTTACTAGAATGGCTTAGTTTTCTTCTCCGGACTTTCCCAGGTGGGATGGGAGAGGAGTGGGCAAAGGTATCGGGGGGCATCCATGGTCTTCAGACCCCAGTGGATGTAGGAGGCTGTGTGTGCTCTGAAGGAGGAGCCCCAGGCCCGCACCCATCCTGGAAAGCTCAGACACCAATTTTAAAGGCATATGAGACCCTGAATCTGTGGACCTCAGAAATTGGGCTAACCAGTGATTGTGGTCTCCTGCCTAATCCCTGTGCTTTGGTGGCTAAACTAATCTCCAGAAGCCAGTCACTGGGCTCACCCAGGCATTCCAGGGTCCTCCAGTGGCAGGGCCAACCCTTGGAACACCTGTGGCCCTGGCACTAGTGTTTAGTGCTTAGTAACAAATGACCTCAAGCTCAGTGGCTTAAAGCAACTCCATCTGTCATCTCCTGGTGCCTGTGGGTAAGAAGTCCAGGCTCAATTTAGCTGGGTCCTCTGCTCAGGGTCTAAGGCTGCAGTTGGGGTATCAGCTGGGGCTGGGGTCTCAGCTGGGACTCAGGATTCTATTCGAAACTCACGTGGTTGTTGGAAGAGTTCCTTTCCCTGCAGTTTGCTCCGTCAAGGCCAGCAGGAGACAGTCTGTCTTCAGGGTCCTCCGTTAAAGGGCTCACCCAATAGGTCCACCCCTAGGATGGCCTCCCAGTTGACTAGGCACCTTAACTGTATCTGCAGAGCCCCTTCCTTTTTGTCACAGGGTAGCATTGTCCCACCATATTCCCAGGCCAAGGGAGGGGAGTTAGACAGAGACTGTACACCAGGGCACGGAACCCAGGGGACAGCTTAGAATTCTGTACTCTCCTTGGTCACTTCCAGGACAACCGCATCCAGGGTGGCTACGAAAACGTGCCAACCATCGACATCCACATGAACCAGATCAGCTTTGAGAGAGAGTGGCACAAGTTCCTGGTGGAGTACATCGCCCCCATGACCGAGAAGCTCTACCCCGGCTACTACACCAGGGTGGGCATGCCCGGGTGCAACCAGGATGCAGCAGGGCAGGGGGGGTGATGGGCTGGATATCCGGGGGTGAGGCCTATCCCCCATCTGGCCATGTGTTGGGAGACGGGGCCCTGGGGCTGGACATTTATGTTCCTTGGAGGCTACTCTGCTTCTAGCCTCTGACCTTTTGAATACGTCTTCTCTGTCACTAAACCATGCCTCAGTGTCTCTTGTACCAGCAGTTAAGGCTGCTGAGAAAGCCCCTGCCCCAGTGGCTGGCCAGCACTCCCTCCTCATTTTCTCTCCTGTAACATGTACCCACCCACTGCCGCTGGCCTCTCTCCCCTCAGGCTTGTGGATTCTCCGGATACCCATTTTGGGCTTGCCTGGGTCCTGCCCTCAAGGAATCCAGCCTGGATAGTTGCCAAAAAGGATTACGAGGATTAGATTCATGGTGTCTCCCTCCCTTCCTTCCTTCCCTTCTCTGTGTTTACGTCCCTTCCTTGCCTTCCCTTCCTCTCCTCTCCTCTCTTTCCCTCTGTTCTTATATTTTTACTGAGACCCTTTTCAGGCCAGACGCTGTTCTAGGGACTGGAGGACACAGCATCAAACTCATCTGCTGTCTAGGCACCAACACAAGGCAGACTGGATGAGGGCCCCCATCTGTGCCACCCGCCTGTGCCCCCCGTCCCCTCTCCTGGCCTTTGGTGGTCTCCCTTGGCTAATGCTGGCTCCCCTGTCCCCCTGCCTTGGCACAGGCCCAGTTTGATCTGGCCTTTGTCGTCCGCTACAAGCCCGACGAGCAGCCCTCACTGGTCCCGCACCACGATGCCTCCACCTTCACCATCAACATTGCTCTGAACCGGGTCGGGGTGGATTACGAGGTGAGCAGGGCCCACCTGGGTGGGGCAGGTGGAATGCAGGAGGGGCTGGCCAGTGGCTTTCAGGGAGCTTGAGGCAAAAGGGCCCTGGGAGGGGCTTCCTGGCAGAGGTGGGTATAATCTGAGGAGGGGGAGGGGACTTTGGAGTCAGCACTTCAGGAGGTATCTGCATCCTGCCTTCCTGGCCCTTCCTAGAATTGTGAAAATGAAATGAGCTCCCCAGGTAATTGCTTAGGTGAAACTGTGGAGAGTACTGCAGGAACAGGCCACAGGCCAGGAGGAGCTTGGTGCTTCCCTGTTAGGAAAAGGGGGCAGGGCTCTGGGAAAGGTGGGGTGGCTGCTAGCCTGGGTGTGGGGCCCCACATCCAGCCAGCTGGTCTTTCATTCACACCTAAAGCTACTATTTTAAGAGTTTTTTAAAGGACATCCATAAAAATAGCTATAATTTTTTTGAGTGCTTATTACATATCAGACATTGCCCTAAGCCCAAACTTCTCAACTAGGAGCAATTTTCCCCACTAAGGGACACTGGCGGTTCCTGGAGACATGTTTGCTTGTCACGACTATGACGGTGCTAGTGGCATCTACTGGGTAGAAACCAGGGACATACACTCAGGATAGCCCCCCACAACAAAGTGTCTATAGTGGTGAGGTAGAGAAGGTCCCATTTTACAGAAGGGGAAAATGAGGCTCGGGTTGCTTACAAAGTTAGTAAAGGGTGGAGGTGATGCTTGCCTAGGGCTGCCTAACTCCAAGGCCAGAGTCATTGATGACTTACTACTCTTCGCTTATGTCTTCCTGAGGCAGCTTATGGCTGTCATTCTGTCACTCCACAAGGCATCCTCAGGCCGGCTGTGCTCAAGGCCTCATGGCTGTGACAGGAGGACAGACAGGGCGGTGGGGGACTGACTCTTGCTTTCTCCCAGGGTGGGGGCTGCCGGTTCCTGCGCTACAACTGCTCCGTCCGAGCCCCGAGAAAGGGCTGGACCCTCATGCACCCCGGGAGACTCACGCATTACCACGAAGGGCTCGCCACCACCAAGGGCACCCGCTACATCGCCGTCTCCTTCGTTGATCCCTAGTTGGCCAGACCCAGCCTGCCTCCTCCGACCGTTCCTCTTTGTCGACAACCACTGCCCAGCAGCCTCTGGGGCCTAAGGGTCCCAGGGAACCCGGTCCAACCTCCAGGCTCTTGACTTCCTGTTGCTCCGGGAACTGCCAGTCGGAGAGATTCGCCTAGGCCAGAGGCGGAGCAGAACTCCGGGCTGGGGCTTCCAGTGGTGCTCTGGACCTGCCCCTGGAGACGCTGTTCACTTTCACTGCTTTATAGTGATTTATTCTCCTCCACCCTTGTCCCTGAAAAACTGAGTCCTCTTTCCTCCACTTCCATGGGATGAGACTTGAACAGAATAGGAACTTCCCAAGCTGCCTAGAGACTCTAGGGGCGAGGACCCATGTCTCAGTGCCTCTGTCAGGCAGAACTGCACCACAGAGACTTCTGCTTCAAGTTTTGGGGGAAAGAGACCTGGGTCAGGCTGAGGTTCCCATGCAGAGCCTGGGACCACTGACGCGCCTTCCTCATGGCTCTTGTCATGAGAACAAACCAGCATCCCCCGGAGACAGTGAATTCAGCAAACCTCCTGGGAGACAGAAAAGGCATCTATGCCACAGCTCAGCCCTCCACTTGCTGGGGAGGAGGGGAGTGACATGTCCACACACTGCACTGGGTCACCCTGTCCCAGATGCTTCCAGAGAGAGGGACAGACAGTCAGAAACAGGAGTGTTTCTATTAAAGGTTATTCAAACCATGGAGTGGGATTGATGCTCAGTGTCTGGGTGAGAGTCTGCAGTGGGAGGTTTTAAGAGCCTGTGATTGGTAAGAGAGGCCACATAGCCACGACTTTTTCCCAAACCCAGTCCCGTGTGATCACTGTGTCATTTGTGTATTTCATTAACCGTTACCATGAGCCAGGCACTGGCTGCCTGGGGCACACTTCTTCATCTTTTGAGACCTGCATTGGTGACACCTCCTCTCTGAAGCCTTTGCTGACCACCCTTCCTGCAAACAAGAACGTGGGAGATCAGGGAGAACTTCTGGTGTTTCTGGTGGCCCCTGCCATACCCAGGACAGACTCTTCTAGTAACACTGGTTATACTTTGGGGCATTTATTAAGAATAAGAGCTAACATCTCTGCATCCCTTGCTGTAGGCTGGGCATTGTGGATTCTGAGTACTCAGCACACAGCCCTCTGGGGTAGGGGCTGAGGAAATGGAGGCTCAGAGAGACCAATTAATTGGCCTCAGGTCACACAGCAAGCAAGTGGTAGGGACAGTGATTTGAACATGATTTTAGCCATTGAGGAAATCTGATCTATGCCTCCAAGGCACTTGTAGTCAGCAGTAGGGACAGAAAAAACTTGAGTGTCGTTCACCGTGGACTCTGTGATAAATGTCACAATGACTGCAAGAACAGAGGAGGTGCAGGAGAGACAAGCAGCTTGCGTGACCCAGTGTTCCTCAAATAAGGGTGATTTTGTTCCCATCTGACAATGTCTGAAGGGTGGGGAAGGGGGAGAGGGACACCATTAGCATCTAGTAGATAGAGGCCAGGGGTACCCACAAACATCCTTCAGTATACAGGGCAGCCTCCTCCACCCCCCCCAAAAGGAATTTTTTTTGTTGTTGTTGAGACAGAGTCTCACTATGCCACCCTTGGTTGAGTGCTATGGCATCACAGCTCACAGCAACTTCAAACTCTTTGGGCTTAAGTGATTCTCTTGCCTCAGCCTCCCAAGTAGCTGAGACTACAGGTGCCCACCACAATGCCCGGCTATTTTTTTCTTGTTGTTGCAGTTGTCATTGTTGCTTTAGCTGGGCTGGGCTGGTTTGAACCCAGCCAGCCTCAGTGCATGTGGCTGGCGCCCTACCTACTGAGCTACGGGCGCCGCCCACAAGGAATTACTGAAACCAAAATGTCAGGAGTGCTGAGGCTGAGGAAGCCTGATAGCAGATGCCTATCTAAGCTGGGCCTAGGAAGAGGTTTCCAACACACAGAGCCACACTCCAGGTCCAGAGAATGCAGGTTGGCTGGAAGGGAAGGGTGGAGAGGTTCTATTTAAAGGAGTACTTTCCCAGGCCAAGGAGAGTTTAAACTTCAACGGGAGGGTGATTAAGTTTTTGAATTTTCAAAATTATCTCAATATTCAAATTGCATTTTGTTTTCCTAAGACTAGCCAAGTGCAGTAGTGAGAAGGGGAGAAAGAATAGAACAAGGAGTTTGATCTGTAACCAAATGTGAACAATCAATCGAGATAACTCACTACCCTCAGACCAGCTGACAAATCTTAATTTCTCATCCCCCAGCTCCAGCCACCCAGTTGGTCTCTCCAGAAGCCAACATGGCTAACCTCTTTCTCGGATGTTTTTCTTGAGCTGGTCTCTGCACGTGTGTGTGTGTGTGTGTGTGTGTGTGTGTATAACCAAACAAGGTCTTCGGTTATCTTTTGTTGATTATAAGTGCAATTCATAGCCACTATGAAAAATCAAATAAGGCCATTCTAGCACTCTGGGGGAGGTGGGAGGATCACTTGAGTTTGGGAGTTTGAGACCAGCCTGAGCAAAGTGAAACCCCGTCTCCACTAAAAATAGAAAAATTAGCTGGGCATCATAGCCCAGCTATGATGTCTAGTCCCAGCTACCTAGGCGGCTGAGGCAGGAGAATCACTTGAGCCTAGGAATTTGAAGTTGCTGTGAGCTAGGCTGACACCACTGCACTCTAGTCTAGGCAACAGAGTGAGACCCTGTCTCAAGAAAAAAAAAAAATCAATCAAAATAGGAATAGGTAATGTAAGGAAACAAGGTCTACTGTCATTGCACACTAACCCCGCCCTGTCCTCCTTCCCTGTCCCATGGTTGGCAGTACTGAGGGAGTCTTGTCATGGAAAAGGTTCATGCCAGGGCTTCGCGGTTTGAGGCTGTGTTTCAGAGAGAAAGATGAGGAGCCTGCGAATGAATTATGATGCCCCTGCAGCAGTCCAGGCAAGTGACCAGGGTCAGGGCCAAGTCTCACAGGGAGGTTTAGTGAGAAAGAGGGACTGAGGAGAGCTGTTTAGTAGGGAAAACATCTGCCCTCCACCTGGCTTGGGTAAGATTCAGCCAAAGAAGGAGAAAGCAATAGAATTCATAATTCCTGGCTCAGCGCCTGTGGCTCAAGTGGCTAAGGCACCAGCCACATACGCCTGAGCTGGCGGGTTCAAATCCAGCCTGGACCCAACAAACAACAATGATGGCTGCAACCAAAAAATAGCTGGGCATTGTGGCAGGCTCCTGTAGTCCCAGCTCAGCTACTTGGGAGGTGGAGGCAGGAGACTTGCTTGAGCCAGGAGTTGGAGTTTGGTGTGAGTTGTGATGCCACAGCACTCTATCTGGGGTGACAGCTTGAGGCTCTGTTTCAAAAAAAAAAAAAAAAAAAAAAAAAGAATTCAAATTCCTGCCTGCAGAGAATTGATGGTCCCCTTAGGAAGATAATAGATAGCAACTATATAAGGCAGACCATGCGAGGCAGCTAGTAATGGGCCCCAGGCATACCACATCGGGACAGAGGTGTGTCCTCACCCCAAGGCAGGATCTGGGTGTAGCCTCATAGTCCCCAGTCACTCTGAGAACACTAAGTTCCTCAGTGGGTAGTGAGGGTGAGACAGCTTCCTTTAACCCAGCAGGAGGCTGATAAGCTGGTCAGTCACCAGAGTGCTGGTTTGCCTCTTGAGGTTATTGGTGGCAGGATTCTGCTATGGTTATATAGAGAGCAGTGCTGTCCAGTAGAAATCAAGCCATAGGGCAGCGCCTGTGGCTCAGTGGGTAAGGTGCTGGCCCCATATACCAAGGGTGGCAGGTTCAAATCCAGCCCAGACCAGCTAAACAACTGCAACAAAAAAATAGCCAGGTATTGTGGCAGGCACCTGTAGTCCAAGCTACTCGGGAGGCTGAGGCAAGAGAATCACCTAAACCCAGGAGTTGGAGGTTGCTGTGAGCTGTGATGCCACAGCACTCTACCAAGGGCAATAAAGTGAGACTCTGTCTCTAAGGAAAAAAAAAAGAAAAGAAATCAAGTCACAAACGTGGGCCACTTATGTCATTCTAAATTCTTTCTTGCTCTCTCTTTTTTTTGGCCAGGGCTGGGTTTGAACCCACCACGTCTGGCATATGGGGCCGGCACTCTACTCCTTTGAGCCACAGGTGCCACCCACTCTCTCTCTCTCTCTCTCTTTTTTTGGAGACAGAGTCTCACTTTATTGTTCTCAGTAGAGTGCCATGGCGTCATAGCTCACATCAACCTCAAACTCTTGGGCTCAAGGGATCCTCTTGCCTCAGCCTCCTAAGTAGCTGGGACTACAGTTGCCCACCACAGTGTCTGGCTATTTTTAGAGACTGGGTCTCGCTCTTGCTCAGGCTGGTCTTGAACTCTTGAGCTCAGGTGATCCACATGCCTTGGCCTCCCAGAGTGGTAGGATTATACGTGTGAACCACCACACCTAGCCCCACATTTTTAAAAGAAAAAAGAGGGTGGCACCTGTGGCTCAAAGGAATAAGGTGCCAGCCCCATATGCCGGAGGTGGTGGGTTCAAACCCAGCCTTGGCCAAAAACCACACACACACA